CGGCTCGGGGGCCATTGAGACACATCGGTTACGGTGTCTCAGTTGATACGCTTAAAACGCTATATAGAAGACTCAATTTTTTTTGAAAAAATCAGAAAAAATAGTAATAAATGTAAACATCATCATCTATGCATCATATCTCCCAAAATGCATTATTTAACTCATCAATCATTACAAAAATGAATAATAAGGGCACTACTGAAAAATATTTGTCATCATCTATGTGTAGTGGAAGCATTTAAGAACCATACTGAGCCAAAATCATTGTCATGTTGAATGGTGATGATGCTCGAAATCATTATTATTCTCTTCTTGATAATTATACAAGTTCGATAAGTAATTTCTACTATAAGGATATAGATATAGATATAGATACAAATATGTTTTAATTAGATTATGTGGTGAATAATAAAAATTATATAATTAAAATAATTGGATTAAAATAGAAAAAGTGGTATCAATTTGGGACCATTGGGAACAAAAAAAAATAAAAAGGAGTTAAAATTGACAGTCTCGATTTTGATTGTTAGAGAGAGAGAGAGAGAGAGAGAGAGAGAGAGAGAGAGAGAGAAAGAGAAGGGGGGTTGTGGATAGTAGGCGTGTGGGTCCAATTACATCGGCCAAGTAAAATCTTGCTCTTATTAGTCTATAGAACTTCAAACCTTAGCTATGATACCAACAATATCTAACCACCCCTCATTAGAATATGTACGACTGGGAATCTGGTAAAGTTCCGTTGGAAACTCCTTACAGAACCTCACTTGCAATGTATCTTAAACCATCATCATTCCAATATTGAAGAGGAACATCATGAAGTTTAACCCAAGCTAGGATTTTAATTTGAGAATCCTTAAATAGTTCAACCTTTGGGTGCCATCATTTAAGAATCAGTGGTCTACCTCTGAATAACCAGGGACCTCATTCTGGGACTTTATTTCTTGCCAAGTCAATAACATTATTTGAAGAAAAAACCTTTGTCATTAGCCAACCTTTGATCAATTCAAGTCCATCTCATGTTTTTTGAGCAATAAGCTTGTAAGAGGAAAAATTTCTTACTTTCCGGTTGTAGTTTAATTGGGAAAGGAGTGAACAAGGGTTGCACCGTTTGTTCTACAAAACGAATAAATTGCCTAAGATCGGGAGTCGGCCAATTGGAGGCACCTCGATGTTTAAAGTTAGGTAGGACCCTGAAAGAAAGTAATGAAGTTTGCAGAATTAGAAGTGCATATCTTAGACTCGAGCATCACCTAGTATTTATAGCGTTGCATTTCAACTGTCCTGCCAAAACTTTAGACGATTGGCTATATGAGGTGGCACATCAAGTTATTTGTTAGATTGCTTTCGATTGATGTTGGGATTTGTCCCAGATCTTTTGTCATTTGATCATTAGTTAGGGTTTGCTGATAACGCTCACCTACGATTCAGGTAATGTTCTTAATCATTCTAGCCCTATCTTTGATTGATTGGGATAGCCTAGCTATTTTATTTACTGAATGGTTTTGCTTAGACGGCTAATTGCGAGGTTTGCTCTGTCTTTCTTTTTATTCGGTCACATTGACAGCTCAACCTATTTGGCCGAGTACTATAGCCGTCTATCTGGTCAGTTGTAATGGAGGTTGTAGTTCCCCACGTGCCCCTGCGCTTGTTTACTGTCATATGCTTTAGGACATGTGCCCTCATTAACTGTATCAATCATCCGTAATCATTTTATGCCCCTTCAAAGCATTACAACGGTAAGGAGGAGTTGAACTAAAATTTTGCTTCCTTTTCTTTTTGGTTCAAATTCTTGAGATTCATTGGGTCCACAATATTAATTCTAAAGTACGACAGTCTGCAATGTTAACATTAACCTCACACTTATTGGAACAGGCAGCTATTTGTTCATCACCGTTACCCACAGATACCTTAGAAACCAGAGTGGATTCAGATTCATTAACTGAAGCTACCATCTCACCTTCTTTATTTAACTTGCAACTGCGATTTAGGATCAGTGATCTGGTTTGCAATTCCTAGTTCTTTCACTACATCATGCTTGAATACATTTGCTGAAGAAATCTCCATAGGGAAAATATCGCAGACGTCAGGATGAACCCCTTTTTTCATTGTGTGCCACAAATCCCCAAAAGTTCAGTAGCAAAATGATCCTTCGAAAGAGCTCAAAATTATGTAGATCTTTGGAGCATCATTGCTAGAAATCCATACTATAGTGCAGATGAACAGATGTTGGGAGTTTCAGAATTGTCGCTGGCAGTCTTCAGAGATTTAGAGAAATGCCGATAGAATGAAGATTGAATTAACCCTAGCCTTCGTGTAGGTTCATGGTGGTAATCCTTGCTTCTTCTGTCACATTATTAGCTTAGAAAATTGTTTATTTTAATTTTGGAATGCTTCCTTTTTGTAAGCACTTGTTGTCTTTGTTGCCTCAACCATCAAATGTCGAGTTTTTCTTACTCTTTTGTTGGCCATAAAACAAAAGTTTTCTATTGTTAGAGTCTTATGCACTATTGTTTGATTGTTATTTGTCTTGGATTAATTGCTCTGATACCAAGTTAAAACAATAATTGATATATTAAGGTTAGGGTTAGAAGAGAATGAGAGAGGAGAATGGGAGAAGAGAATGAGAGAATAATGGGCTAGGTTGTAACGACATGGTGTTTGGAGATCGAGAATTGGGACATAAGTGAGTGTACGAGTGCAATTAGGGGCTTAGAGTCTAGAGAGCTGGAGCATGAAATAATAGCGTGTTGATAATCTGCAAGTAGATAGGGGGTGCTTAGGTGTAAGAACATGATTGGTGAAGAGAAACGAGCTAGGATGTGCAGTCAGGCAAGTTTGGGTTAGCGTATACCGGGTAGTTTGGGGTGCAGGAGTTGCATTAACGGATCAAATTGGATGTCAATTTGATGTCCAAAAATTTAATTAATAATTTTCTAGTGCTTGATTTAATATATGTGTAATTTTTGAAAAAAAATTTATTAATTAATTTTTGAAATTAGCAAAAAATAGTGAAATTACCAAATTGCCATTGGAAACATCTCAAATCTTCTAGCTTTGCAAGGTGCCGACTGGAGCTCCTTCATGGCTGCATGAACTCCACACAGTTGCTTGGAGCAGCATGACTCAACAGCTATGGAGTATAAAGAAGAGAAGGGAAAACAATGGATAGGAGAGAGAGGAGAAATGTAGAGAGAGAAAGCTTAGACTTTAAAATTTTGGATTTCTATAGAGTGATCTTCGAGCTTCAAGAGGTATACTACTAGACTAATTATGATGCTAGGAATCTATTCATGTAATTAAATTTTAATTTGGTTTAGTATCAATGCATGAATTTGTGTTTTAAAGTTTAGTAGATTTTCGGATTTTAAAACGGGTTGAGATTCGAGCATACTTTGGGTTAATTGATTGTTATGGTTGTGTTTGGTGGGTGTCAAGTAGTTATTTAGTGGTGGTGGAACGATGGCGTGAGAGTTTAATTAAACTTTGAAGGGGGTAGTGTTTCTAGCTAATTTGAACCCAAGGAATTGAAATTGGATTTGGATGTCTTTTTTTTTTTTTTTGGGGGGGGGGGGGGG